CCCCTCCCTCTCCCTCCCTCCCTCCCTCTCCCCCCCGTTCGTTTCTCGTAGCTTTTGCGGGCAAATACCGATCACCTCTAGACTTGGGGCCTCGCTCCACTCAACACTATATGCATTTCGACAACTGCACAGAGTGGAGAATTCAAATGGACTCGTCCCAACGCACCTGGTCCATAATGCGTCCAAATGCATGTAGAGTGTTGTGTAGCGTAGCGAGGGCCTTGGTTTCGAGTACACACGCCGGTTCTTGACATCCGATTGGCCAGAGCGTGAAGCGCAAGAAGGAGAAGAAGAAGTGGAGCGAGTTTGAAGCCAACCCAGGGTTGGAGACTCGGGACATGCTCACAGTAGGACCTGTGTGTTCTTATACTGAGAAGCGTTGGTGGTGTCCCACAGCGGTCAGATTCATCCGGATCTGGCCGTAATTGCAGTCGGAAGTCCTATTGTGAGTGAGTATGCCCTCATTCTGACCCGACTCATAACCAGACGGCATTCAGTCGGATAAGAGCAGAATCGGTGTAGCCGTACCCTCCAGCCCGGCAGTGAGGCCGGAATTGTTTCAGGCCTGACCCGGTCTGGTACCGGGTTACTCCGGCCTGGACCAAGGCCGGTATATGTTTCAGGCCATCGGCCTGACCCCGGCCGGGTACGGGGTTACTCCGGCCTGGACCAAGGGTCTCGTTAGACACTCCTAAAAGTTCCTGTATTTAGGATTGCGTCTTGGTTGCACGCAATCCTAAATCGGACGTGGGAATCGAAAATGTGAAAACGGCGTTAGGACTCGTCCTAAAAGATTCAGGATTCCCCAGCCAAATCGTCCTAAATTTTCCAGTAGCCCCGGACCTACTGAAAAATTTAGGATTCCCGCGTTTCACGGAGTCGTCGTGTCGCGAGAATGGCACCGTGTCGCGAGAATGGCACCGTCGACACGGAGGTGGTGGTCCAGGAGAGGTCCGTCGGGTCGGTGGGCGGACATCGGAGGTTTTCTGCCGGTTGATGACGGCAACGGCCCCCACGGGTGGCTGTTGGCTGGTGGGGTGGAGCGCGGTGGGCGAAGCGTGGCCTGGCTCACAGGCGTTGAGGACCGTTGGCTCGGGTGCGGGCAACGGAGGAGTCCCCAGACGTGCGCACGACGACACACGGAGGCTATCGTGGGCGCCAACGGTCACTTTTTTGAATCGCAGGCGGCATCGTTTGTCGTCTTCGCTGGCGGTCGACGACATCTGAAGGCCCAACGTCCTTGTCCGCGGGCTTGTGAGGAGAAAGTTCAGCACGACGTCATGTGCAAGGTCGCCTGTCGACGTCGAATTCATGGCAGACATGCAGAGGAGATTGCCTTTGCTGCTTCTCGTTGTCGTCGTCTTCCTGTTTGTCGTCTTCCTCCACGTGTGCTTGTCGTGCCGGCCGTGGAAGCAACGTCGCAAGCGCAGGGTGTCAACGAAACGCGGTGTGCAGGTACGCGCTGTTCCGCCCATGGCGGGCATGCAGGTACGCGCTGTTCCGCCTGTGGCTGAGGGCGGCAGAAGACCTCCGACGACGGAGCCTTCGAGGCGGTACGACCCCTCCATGTACAACCATCTGCCGTCGTGGGAGACGCCGCTGCCTCCCTCGGATGAGGAGCCGGAGGGGGATGAACTTCCAACGTTTCCTCTCGCCAGCGAGTCGACACAACTGTTGTCGCAGATGGTGCTCGCAGGCGGGTCGGCAAGCAACGGACGCGGCGAGTACACGACACTCCTGCAGCAGGGATTGGGAGACGACGACGACGGGGGAGTTGATCTCCGGTTCGGGTTATCTTCTGGCGGCGGTAGGGAGGCGAGCCGCACGTTCATCATCGACGCCGATCCTTCACCGCGTGGCGTTCAACAATCTGGAAGTCGGCATACAAAGCAGTCCACACTTCGTGGCGGTACGTCCGTTTGTGTCGGTGTGAGGCCATCGTCAGCAGGCCAGCAGCATGGATCGAGTGCACCGTCCGCCGATCGATTGACAAGCACCTGCCCCGAACGCAACGGAGTCGCAGTAGGGTCCCTGCGCATCGGCGGTACACTTCATTCGATGCCCAAAAGCACAACGCTGACCCAACCCGACCTCAGGGACGACGGCACGTGCAGACCAGCGGTGCGTCAAACACCCAGTGTGGAGAACATCACACGAGGAGTGTCGAACATGCGGGCACACAGCGATGGTGGCGACGACGATGGTGGTGGTGACGATGCAGACGGGCGATTCGGGGAAGACGTGGAGGCAGGGGACGACGACGACGACATTCCTATTCGGTCTTTGGGGAAGACGGGCGGGAGGGGGAGAGGACGCAGCAGGGGTGCTGTTCGTGGTCGATCCGTTGGCCGTGGGGGCAGAGGTGGCGTCAGCGATGACGGCGGGAAGTCTGCGACGTACTGGTCCCCGGAAGAGCAAATCCAATTGGTGAGATGCAAGCGGGAGCAAGAGATGCACCTCGCCGGTCTCGGTCATTACGGGCGAATGCGGACCAAGGAGTGGAAGTGGGAAGATATTGCCAAGCGCATGGCGAATGCGGGGAGGCCGAAAGACGCGGACGACTGTATGAAGAAGTGGGACAATATCTTCCAAAACTACAAGAACATACAAAGGTTTCAGAATGCGAGTGGCCGACCAGATTTCTTCCGGCTATCGAATGAAGAAAGGAAGGAGCACAACTTCAAGTTCCGGATGGAGAGGGCGCTATACAACGAGATCCACATAGGCATGGTTGGCAACCACACAATTTTCCCTCCCAACATCGCCGACACTGGAAGTCCGGACGGGGTGCATCTGCTTAGGCGAGGAGCAGGTGCTGGGGAGTCTGTTGGTAGTGAGGGCGCTGGTGAAGGCCTCCCTGAAGAACGTTCTACGACCAGGGACTCCGACAGCAACGCTGCCAGTGGGGCTGGAGGCGGTAAGCGGAAGAATGCTCGTCAACAGGCGTTGGAGTCGATTGCTGATGTCATGGACCGCCATGGCGAACTGATGTCATCGACGATCGAATCATCTAGCAAGCGGCAAATTCACGAGGCAGTGCGACATACTAGGGCAGGAAGTTGCAGTCCAGAAAGCGCACTACGCTACATTCGATGAGACGCAGAGGATGATGTGCCACGCGCTTCTGGAGATCGCTGCCGCCATCCGTGGTCGGTCGGCGACGTAGGGTGCATGGTGTGTGTGTGTGTGATAGTGAGTGTCAGTGTGTGCGGGTGTCCTCCACACAGTTGTATGGGTAGTTGTGTTTAATTTTTTTTTCGTCATCATTTTGGACGGCAGTGCATCGTCTGCGTTTTCATGGCTCGTCAACCAGACAGC